AGAGTGCATGAACATCTTGGCACACACTCGCATAGGAGTAGAGGCCTCAATGCACTCATCTGTTGCCATAGGGCATTACTTTTTGTGAAATATTCATTCACAGTCATTTGTCCTTGCACATTCCTAAAGATTTCAGTCTGAATTTCAGAAATTCTATGAGGATCAGATTGAGAATACCTCTTCTGTAGGGCATTCCAGATGTCTATGGCCTTGTCATAGTACATAACGCTCTCTGCTATGCTTGGATTAACAGACCTCAAAATCCAAGAACATACAATGCGGTTGCATCTTCTCCAAGTCGTCAATCTCGGATCATTGGCTTCTGGAACTGGAACGGTTCCACTGACAAAACCGAATTTGTTCTTCACCTCCAGTGCGATGCGCATCGATCTACTCCAGGAGTTGTAATTGATCTCGGTTAGGGGAGGTGACACAAGACTGAGATTAGGGTTCTCAGTAGCGTGTAAGTAGAGGGGATCTTCAAATTCATCATTGTGCTGGTTCGATGGAATTTGGCTTGCAGAAGCTCCTGCCTGTTCTGTCTGGTTGTGGTTTCTATCACCGGCCGGCTCCATCACAACTGCTGCGGCGTAGCTCCGGTGAAGCTCTGATACCATGTTGGAGGATAAAAATAGCATAGGGATATTTTTGTCTTAATGCTCCTTCCTATCTGTCTGTTTCAACCGGCTTCTTATATAAACTCTTATTGTCTTCTCTGTAATTGTAGACTTCATCATAATAACAATCTTCTTCTTCTTCTTCAATCTGCTTCCTCTTCCTCTTCATAGCTTCATCATGTAGTCCCTATTCCAACATGGTATCAGAGCCGCGTTCCTATACCACCGCCGCCGCCGTCTCTACCGTCGCCGGCGTGAAGCAGGAGACGCTGGCTACCACTCCGATCGCACAATCTCCAGCCGCACAATCTCTATTCATGCGATTCCTTACTGGTGTTGTTCCAGAGTTAGTTCCGCAGAGGAACTCGATCAACCGTATTCGCGCATCGCCTAGCAATCCGCAAAGGATCGTTGTTACGCAGAGTAACAACAATGCCGTGGCTGGATCTCCAATCCGATCAGCAATAGCAACGATTCCACAGAGGAATCTGAGTTCGGAGAAGCAAAATTCCGTAGCCGTTCCGCAGCGGAAGGGAGGAGCTTCGTCGATTCCGATCAATCCGCAGAGGATTCCGAGTTTGGAGCAATCAGCCGCAGCGGTTGTATATCTCCATCTGAAATACGTTCAGAGAGCCATGGTTTTGAAGCACGTGGACTCAATTGAGCGAGAGTTTCTGGATCAAACACCGTCATCTACGCTCCGCAGAATGCTGGAGAAGCGGATCCCGTTGATTGGGGATTGGCTTGTTGAGATCCAAGGTGTTAGTCGGAATTTAGTCCAGATAGCCATCGGACAAGCCTCCGCAGCAAGGCAAAGAGAAGAGGAACTGGTTCAGAAGCTTTTATGGCAAAACTTGAAGAGAAGTTGTGAATCCGATCGAGATCGAGTAGCAATGGCCTTGGCTTTCGATGAGTTCGGAAAGTCGTTCATAATAATCAAGGAGCAGGAGCAAAAGATGAGGCTCAGAGGCCTCGATGCTCAGAAGTCTAACATTTCTGCGGGAAAGGCAGTCGCGCTGTTTCTCGTATCCCTCGTGTGCCGGGAGGTGGTACGCACCGAGCAGGGCAAGGTGCTTTCGGGAATATGTGCCGCGGTGGCCGCATGTTCGCTCCGCACCTCTCTCGCCCCCAAAGGCATGGACAAGATGCTTCAGAGCCCTGATGGCGACGTCACCATCACAAATGATGGTGCAACCATCTTGGAGCAGATGGATGTTGACAATCAAATTGCAAAGCTTATGGTAGAATTGTCCCGAAGTCAGGATTATGAGATTGGTGATGGAACAACTGGAGTTGTTGTCCTGGCTGGAGCACTTGTTGAACAAGCTGAAAAGTTGTTAGAACGTGGTATTCATCCAATTCGAATTGCTGAGGGATATGAAATGGCATCCAGGATTGCAGTTGGACATCTGGAGCGCATTGCACATAAATTTGAATTTGGTGTGAATGACATTGAGCCTTTGGTTCAAACTTGCATGACTACCTTGTCATCTAAGATTGTGAATAGATGCAAGCGTAACTTAGCTGAGATTTCTGTCAAAGCAGTTCTCGCTGTTGCAGATTTAGAGAGGAAGGATGTTAACCTGGACTTAATCAAAGTAGAGGGAAAAGTTGGTGGAAAGCTAGAGGACACAGAGCTGATTTATGGCATTGTTGTTGACAAAGACATGAGTCATCCACAGATGCCTAAGCAAATTGAGGTCATTATTTTCCTGGAAACTCTTGTCTCTACTGCTCAGCAGATATTGCCGGTTCCGATCCTCAAAAGAGTTATGAAAGATGGTTCAGAAAGGTCCACCATCCTTGGTGAACTCAATGAGAATGTTTACTTGACTTGCAGGGTAGACATCAGTTCTGTAAAATTGAGCAACAGAATGAGTGTAGAGCTGCAGTAGAAGTCTAAGCTGGGCATGTAGGATCTACACGCTCAGCTTACGGGGGTGTTGGAGGATAAAAATAGTATAGGGATATTTTTGTCTTAATGCTCCTTCCTATCTGTCTGTTTCAACCACTAATATATAAACACTTTTAAGCTTTTGCACTATTTTTTTTTTTTTTTTTTTTGAGTATCCTAGACCCTAGTGATCGAGTTTGATGACTTGATCAATGTATCACGAAAATATTATCCTTTTAATTGTTTTTCATTTTAAAACAAAATTATAAGAGATCGGAGGTGCCTTCCATCTTTATTCGCAAGAGTTCCTCACTTGACATTAAAAAAAAAAAAAAAAAAAAAAAAAAAAAACATTTCGATTTGTATTCATTAGTCACGGAAATTGTAGATGGAATAGGAAAGTCATAATTTCATTAATTAATTTAATCGTATCTAACAAAGGATGTTTAATTAAAAGTCATAATTTCATTAATTAATTTAATCGTATCTAACAACAGAAATTTAATTAAAGGAGCAAACGTTGATCAAACTGTTGACTTCACAACCACAATGTTATAAATTTGATTCTCAACAAGAGTGGTCTATTAGCCTTCTTAATTTGATTTAAGTCGATCAACTATATATAATCTAAGCTAGTTTACCTCCATGCAGTCACACTTACTATAAGTTTTTCTCAAGAAAAAAGAGAGAGAAGGAGTTAATGAGCATTATTAATGAATTCCAGGTCGTGCAGTGATCGTTAATCAATTGAATCACATGCTATTGTTAAACGACAATGTGATACGTTTGGGCCGGAAACATAGGCAAGAATCCTGTTACGTAGTGGAGACTATAATCATATATGTTTCATCTTGGAATTCCATCGCATTGTTAAGTTCTCGCTTGTCATATCGATATTTGTGACTTATTGTCGGTTCATCGCATTATATTCCAACCACATCAGTTGTATGTGTCACTTTTAATAAACAAGTTGAGCAAAGTAAAATTCCATAGTTATAGGTAGACGTTCAAAGTAGAGATTTGAGTTTCGAGATTTGATTCAGTTTAATTTTAGTTTTAGTTTGGTTTGAAATAATTTGATTTCGATTCGGTATTAATTTGATTCAGTATTCAGTTTGGTTTAAGAACCCTAATTTTTAATATTTTTTAACTTTCTAAACACATTTAATGTATGGTTGCTTTTGGTATTATTCTGATATATCAAATTAGGATTTTGGGTTGCAGTGATAGAAAATAGAAAATAGAGAAAAAAAAAATAGAGAAGAGTTCCAAAGTTACAAAAATGTGTGCGGAGTATCATACATATAAATAATAAATGTATAATTCAATTATCAACTTAGGGTTTTAGTTTTTTTAAGTATATCTAGAGTTTTCACTGTGACTTAGTGTTTTAGTTGAGATAGAACATATCTTTCAATTATATGCTCATAAAATCTTACTTCCAAATGAAATTGGACACATATTAGATAAGATATTAAATTTACAACCTAATATAACATCAATCCCTCGACGCTTAACGTATAGTAGTTGGTTCGTCGTCTGACTTAAAGGTCATAATAGAATGTGGCAGTGTGGCGTCCCACTAAAAACGTGTATGGGAAAAATAACCCAAGGATGCACGCATATGAAGAGTAGTAATTGGATTGTTAGCTGATTGCGCGACTCGCGATTTACCTCCACTGAACAGGTAGGAATCACCTAATAAGTTTAAAAAAATAATAATGATTGACTAGATTTTAATACCCGGTGCACTAATTTGAAAGGCGGATCCGGAGGGGGGAAATGGGGGCAATTGCCTCCTTCACCCCTCTCCGCCCCTTTTATATATATATGTGTGTGTGCGCGCGCGCGCATATATACATATATAGTAGTAATTTTTATATAAAAATAAATGTATATATAAAATATTAGATGTTTAGGTAGGTTACTTTATTGTTCTTAAAATTTGATAATATGTTATGAGATTAAGCCCCGTCATTAAATTTAGTTTTTATTTTAGGTTATGAGATCAAACCTTAGTAGAGGTATTGTTGACTTTTTGTGTTTCATTAGGTTGAAAAAGCATATTTGAAATACTACAATGTAATATAGTCGGTAGCATTCAAAAAAAAAAAAAAATCATTGAACCTACCCATGTGAAAATTTTTTAGATCCGCCTTCGGATAAAAAAAGTGATTTAAAGAAAAACATTTAAGAATGGATCTGAAGTTGATGCTAACTATTGAATGCTACAAATCTGAGTTGAAAAATAGCATGGAAACAAGAGATAGAGAATCTACAGGCGGAAGGCTTTATAGCCAAGTCAAATGGAGCAATAAGACTTAAAAAATGTTTTTTTAAGGTATGTACTTCCCAACTCCCAAGTAAGGTTAATTTGTCACAAAAGTCTTGGTTTAACTCATAAGCTTGGATCTGGTCAAACAAAGTGTATATATATAGGAGTGCGTTACAGTGTATATATTGCCATCATCAAAGAAATTTAAGCTGAGAGAAGATGATGAGAATAAGAAGCAATAATAGGATGTTGGTATGTAGTGTGGTAGTCGTAATTTTAGCAGTAAGTAGCATAAATGGAGAGTTTATAACCTGCCCTAGCCGGAAGAGCCCTTGCTTTCTGAAGCGCCGCTATTGCCCCGCCGAATGCCCTTCCAAAACACCCTCTACCTCTCTATCAAAACTTTGTTACCTCGACTGCAATTCTCCCCTCTGCCAACCTCAGTGTCGGAGTAAGGCTTTTTGCATTTATCTATGCTCATGTTTTTTTTTTTTTTTTTTGAGTTAGACTACGATGTGTTTTGCGTAGATACAATTAAGGGGCAAAATGCTGGTCATAAGCCCATATGGCCGTATCGATCATACTCATATCAATTTTCGTTCACACTCGTCTGGCTCAATTAAGGGGCAAAGTGTAAGTTAGTCATATTAGTTTTTTCATACGAACTGAGGGAGATTTTGAACTCTCCACATCTTTTAAGGAATAAGATTGTACGACCACTCAAGCCGACCAAGGTAGTTTTGATGAATACTTTGTTAGATTCCTTGAAATGATTTATGGGCAAGTTATACAATTGACCAAAGTTCACCTTGCACTGTATGTGGATCCTGTATGATTCAAAATGATAGTCATTATTTGCTGAGTTGTACTAGATAGACTCTCAAAATTCTATTCCCTCATTTATACTCCCTGAGGTGGCAAATCAGGATTGGTTATTTTCATCATGGGTCCACTGAAAAGTGTCTACATCAAAAGCATGTGAGAGAGAGTACAAGTTGAAAGTTTAAAATGGGAGTACACCAAGTATTTTCCTTATTTGCTTGCATTAACATATTGCATACTTATAACCAGCGATGGAGTCAAAAATTTTCATATCTATCTATATTACTTAGTTATATGCAGGGTTGTAAAAATCGGTCTAGGCACCCGCCTAGGCGCTAGGTGCCTATAGACCGTGGCGATTTCCCTCCTAGGCGCCCGCCTAGGTTACCGGCCGCCTAGGCGTTCGCCTAGCGCCTAATTCGGCTGATTTGGCCGCCTAGCATCTAAGTTAGTCGAGTTAACTCGTCCATTTCAGTCGAGTTAACCCGATCGGCTCGGCCTATTTTTTTATTATATATATATGTGTGTGCGCGCGTGCGCGCGCATACATATATATAATATGACATATATTCACTCATAGACTAGTTTAATGCTTTGAATCTTTTGATGATTGAAGTATTTGAGTATTTCATATTTGAGTATTTTTAATTTTTAATATTGTTTTAATGTCTTTTTTTTTTTTTGAAAATCATTGTTTTGATGTTATGACTTATGAATTATCATTAATTCATTTTTTTGGATGTGTTATTTGATTAAATGTTGAAAATAACCTCATTAAAATTGTCAAATTGCAAGTCTATCACTGTTTTTTTGGCGCCCGTCTAGCGCCGCCTAGATTCCGCCTAGGCGTTAGGCGCTGTCCGGACGCCCGACTAACGTCTAGCGCCTACTGCAATCATGGTTATATGTAAACATTTACTCTCTCTCTCTCTCTCTCTCTCTCTATATATATATATATATATATATATATATATATATATATATACACACACAAGAGGCCCTATATATAAGAGATGGAATGAGGGATGGGGGCAACTGCCTCCACTCTAGATTTGCATTTAGAATAAATTTAAAACAGATAATATGTTAATAATTGATATATAATTTATTAACTACAGACACTTAATAATTATAGTAGTCATATAATTTATTAGTTAAAACTATATAATATGTTAACTGTAATATATTTAGAGCATGATTCACAATGCAATATGGACAATATTCTATAGTATAACACTGGATTTTAAGCCATTGGTTTGATTTGATTTTTAATTGTGCAGACAGGAAGCCGAATTGCAATGGCCCGGGAGCAGCATGCTTGGACCCGCGTTTCATCGGCGGCGATGGAATCGTCTTCTACTTCCACGGCAAGAGAAACCAACATTTCACCTTGGTTTCAGACTATAACCTCCAAATCAACGCCCATTTCATCGGCCTAAGACCCGCCGCCCGGCCGCGAGACTACACATGGATTCAGGCCCTGGGAATCCTCTTTAACGGCCACTCCTTCTCCGTCGAGGCCACAAAGGCCACAAAATGGGACCACCAAATCGATCACCTCACCTTTTCTCACCACGGCTTCGAACTATCCATCCCCCAAGATTACCCATCATCGTGGGAATCCTCGGACAGAAGCATTAAGGTTGAAAGAACGTCGGCGGAGAACAGCGCCCTCATCACGCTCCGGGAAACCGCCGAGATTTCGGTCAACGTTGTACCCGTGACTAAGGAAGACGACAGAGTGCACAACTACCAGATTCCGTCCGACGACTGCTTTGCCCATCTGGAAGTTCAGTTCAGATTCTTCGGGCTGTCGGATGCGGTGGACGGCGTGCTGGGGCGGACGTACCGGCCGGATTTTGAAAACCCGGCCAAACCGGGCGTTGCGATGCCCGTTGTCGGAGGAGAAGACAAGTACTGGACGGCGTCGCTTTTGTCGCCGGAGTGTAAACTCTGCATTTTCTCTCCGGCTGCCGGAGTTTTGAATGAATATCCGACCGTGAAAAACTACGGCGGCGCCTTGGATTGCTCAGGGAGATCAAGCAGCGGCAATGGCATTGTTTGCAGGAAATAATATAGCTATTCTGGATCAACCAATTATAAGTTCTGCATTGCTTTTTATTTTGATTAATAAGGCAAAGCCAGTGATGAATTCTGTAACTTATTACATTATTCTAGTGTTTCACCGGTAATTTCTTTAAGAAATTATCGATTTCTTTAATTAATTTTAATCTAATTTGATTTAAGTATCAAGTGTCTCAAATTAAATATGATAACCCTGAGCCAAGCACCTTGTGGTCTCAGAAAATACATATGTGACTCTCTTTGAGGGATGGATACATGATCAAATCTGATAATCAAATATTAGCTCGCTGATTTGTAACAGATAAAAAAAAGGTATAAAACACATATTACATATTGTAATAGAGTAGATAGTACTAAACTTCTCACCGTTTTAGAGGATCATTTGAATTAAAACACAATGGAGTCTTTAATTGTATTTCATCTATATTATAATTTTCACAATAACTAAGATAATTACATTTAGAAAGCAAATTTCAAATTTTGTATGAGTAAATTTAAAATAAATGTAATCCTTTGTTATGGGGGAGAAAAAAATAGCTATTTTATTTTTCAAAATGTTATGCTTTTTTTTTTTTTTTAATATATATAGTAAAGGATGTTGTGGCTATTTTATAATAATAATAAGGATAGAGATAATAATTGTAACAATAATTACTCACCAACATAATAATTGTAACGAGAAAATTACACTTTTGGTCCTATGACTATAGGGGAGATGGTAATTTCAGTTCGTGACTTTTAAAATTAACAGATTTAGTCCTGTAGCTATGCAATTTTTAGCACATTTGGTCCTCCCGGCCAAATCACCGGAGAAAATTCGCCGGAAAAACTTTACCCATTTTAAATTAAATATAAGTGGGGGCAAAATGGTAAATTTAACTTTTAAAAAAGGGGTAAGTTATTTGCTTCCTTCTTCCTCGCGTACCAGCCTCTTGGATGATTGGTTTGCGACTCTGACTCTGCTTCTCCGCCGGACTACCTCACTGCCTGAAGGGTGAGGGGAAGAAACTCCATGGAAGCAGCGTAGCATACAAGAAGCTCTAAAAAAGAACAAGAAAAAGTCGAAGAATTATGGGCTAAGGTTATTTGAGACGAGGAAGCAACCATGATTCTGGATATTTGAAGGCGTTTCTGGGAATTCAAAGCAGAAGCTGGGGGGAAAGAAGAAACTCGAGAAATCCAAGAGCTCTTCATCACGAGTATCAATTGTGATGGAGAAATTGAAGAAGATCGAAAACCCAATATAATGCTTTTGTTGTTGTTCCTCTTTCTTCATCTAGCAGGGGAGCTGCCATGGTGTCCAAGGTTTCACGAGATGTTTTCGCCACGTTTATTATACGTACAGCATGCAGAGAAGAGTCTTCCCTGCTTTTAAAACATATATAGTCGTTGGAATCCATTAAAAAAAAATAAACATCCTCAAAACTGTCTGGATAACCACTCTGTTCATGGCTTCTCCATTCCGGCTGATACTGCTGGCAAGATCATTACCTGCAAAGCTGCCGTGGCGTACAGTCCTGGCCAGCCCTTGATCATCGAAGATGTGCTGGTGGATCCGCCTCAGAAGCTAGAGGTGCGAATCAAGATCCTTTTCTCTTCAATATGCCACACAGATCTCAATGCTTGGAAAGGGGATGTACATACTATTGATGCTCTGTTCTGTTCTTGGATAGTTTGTTACCAAACACCAGCCTATATCTAACTAATTAATCTATGTGAAAGTGTGAAACAAAGTTAGTGAATTTATTTGGGTTTTGTAGAAAGCTCAACGTGTTTTCCCTCGAATTCTTGGCCAGAAGCCTCTGGGTAAGTTCCGTTTAGTAATTAAGGTGGGAAATGGGAAGCCATTTTTCCCCCTTTTTCTCAAACCAAATGTGACGCTTTTATCACCCCCCCCCCCCCCCCCCCCCCCCCCAAAAAAAATTAATAAAGAATTGAAATTGAAATTCCGGCGAAAATCTACCGGCAAATTAGCCGGAAAGACTTAATGTGTAAAAAAAAGCATTCTAAAAGGACTAAATCTGTTAGTTTTAAAAGTCACGAACTGAAATTACCACCTCCCCTATAGTCATAGGACCAAAAGTGTAATTTTTCTCTAATTGTAACATTAATTACTTCCCATTTTATTATAGTTAAGATTAAATTATCAAGAAAGTTATTACAGACATATGATTCGTTTAACCTTTTTCAATTTTTTTTTTTTAAATTCCAATATACACTTACCACATAAGAATACAATACCAACTTATACCATTGACACAAAATGATGAAACATGCAAACTAAACTCTTTTATACATATACACACTACAATTAAAGAAAAAAAATTGAAAAAAAGAAAAAAACCAAAACAAAACCAACGACATATGTACTTTCACTAGTACATATTATTTGACAAAAATAAAAATAAAAATAGACGACTATTAACCTTTATTTTTTGAAAATGAGATGCTAAAATACGTTCGATGACATTCTTATAATTTTGTAAATAACATTCAACACATGTTGTATTAACACAGACGTAAAAAGTCTAATTTAAAAACAACGGGCATTTTTATATATGTTCTAAAATAAACATACAAGACTTGTGCCCGAATATTTTTTTTTTTTTTTTAAATGTTGGTTACAATAGGCGTATGTTGTTTGCGCAACAGACGCCCATTGAATGTGTTACTAAAAATAAACCTTTGTCAATCGATTACAACAAAATATGCCCCCAATTTGATTTCTCACTTAGATTCTTCTAACACACTAAAACGTACAGTTGTCGACGGCACCTAGAAACAAGGAACAAGTATTTTAAGATATAATACGAAAAGAATTTTAGTTCCCATTTTTATTTTTAGAAATAGGGTCAAAATGTATTTTAGAGAATGTACTTTACTAACCGGAAAGTTAATCTAACCAGAAAGTAAGCAAATTTGAATTGAAAAGTAGTCCTAGGATATTTTCAACTCCGATATGTCACTTTAAGAATGAACCTTACTAATTGGGAAGTAAATAAATTCGAGAAGTAATCTTCGAGAAGTCATGATAAGTTATCTTTGAGAAGTCAATCTAGAACAGTAATCTTAAAGAAGTCAATGAGACAAAGAGTTGAAGACTCAAAAGGTTAAAGACCGAAGAAGCTGTGAAGAGTTGAGATTCAAATTGAAGAGTCGAAAAGTTCAAGATCTAGACTAGAAGTTTCTAAAGTCGAAAAGTGGAAGGAACAACCTTTACTGGAAATGATTAACTTAGGAAAGTTAAATCCGTGAGGTTATTGTGGAAGAAATTTGAAAGGTTAACCACAAGAAGTCAATGTTATCTTTTCGCATTTACTGTTCGGACATTCTCTCAACGAATAGTAAACATGCATCCTCAAATGCTCAAGTTGCAAGAAGAATGTTACCAAGAAATAAGGTGTCCTAGGTACACATCCCACGGTAGATTTTCTAAAAATGGCTAAACATTTTGCACATCTTAGAAAACAAGGAGTAGACGCAAAAAGGTACTTCCAACGACTAGAAATCTGACAAAAGTAACCTACTACATTAGCCATTGATCTTTACACAAAAGTTAATAGACGTTTGAAATTTGTTTTCTTCCAACAGATAAATTTTCAAAAGGGTCTATAAATTCTTCCACTCAAGTCATAGTGAAGTGCTAGTCATTTTCTGCATACAAGAGATTAAGTTCATTGTAAGCGAACAAGTATTATTCCCTCTAGTAGACTAGTCAAGAGAGAGCTAAAGCTGAATTTTTAGATCAAGCCCAAAGAACTACAACGATCAACGAGAAATCATCAAGCCGAGTCTTGTAGTTGGAGATTGTGAACAAACCTGTTATTTAATCGATCTATCTCTACTAGGATTAGTAGAAATGGGCGGACTAACAAGTGTTTAATTGTGAAAAACCTTGAGAATTGTGACCGGCTCTGTGATCAAGGCACAATTGCTCTTCATTGTACTAAGGGTTTAGTACAATCCTCCTATAGTTTAGGAGAAGAGTGAACGTAGGCTGAGTTTTAACTGAACCACTTTTAAAAAAAAAAAAATTCTCTCTATTTTACTTGGCGCACTTACATTCCAGTATTTAAACAATCATACTTAATTTTTAATAAGATCAAATACGTGCAACACAAGTAAAAGGGGTAACATATATTTTCTGCTGCATACTCAAACCTAAAACTAAGTTCAAGTTCAAGTTCACTTGAGTTTAAGAGTTTTAAAAAAGATTTTTAAAATCTTACAAGTCTATTCACCTCTCCTCTAGACTTGTACCCCTAACCCATCAGGACCAGTCTAACAATCCTCTCCCTCTAGTCTATGATGACGACTTGAGCAACGGCAGCATCTAACAAGAAGACGGTGAGGAATTGTGCAACATCGACACTATCAGTTCCAGCGACTGTCACAGTATGCCCACCATATCCTTCTTTGATTTATTTTCTTATGTGAATATTTTTCCATTAATCCCCTACCTCCCTATACTGCCATATTTTCTTGGTAGACATTTATCCCTTCAAAATCAAATCTATACACAATAATGTATTTTTAGGATAAAAAAGCTAGGGATACTTGTTTGTATTGGCTTTAGTACGTTAACTCACAGCATATGAGAAATGCTAAAGAAGTGGTTGAAATGTAGTTTTATATGTTGAATGTGGTTGAAAGGAAATGTACTTTAGCAGCTAGGAAGGGGATTAGGCTGGTGCAAGATAGTTGGAGGCTAGTCAATCTCCTATTTATTTAGATGCTTAGCTTTCAACTACCTGAAATGTCTTCAATTCCTTTGTTCATTTATTTTCTCCGGCAAATTGAGGTTGGTGATGTTCTTGGTGAGATAGAAACTGACAGACAAAGCAACCCTTGAATTTGAAAGCTAAGCCTTGAAGAAGGGTAATTTTTCTTAATTAATTAGCTAACTTTATAATTCACAATTGTGCCATTCTTTCCACATTTACCGCAATATATAAACCATTGCAATACAAATGGTTTTAGTCTTGGATGCTGGTTCATCACCTTCAATGAAGTTAACTTATATGCATTGCTCTACCAATCCATGTGTTGTTATATAGGCCAGTAACATAGTTAATCTATCAGTCAATTTTGACTTATTTGATAACTATTAACTGTTTGACTTG